GGGGGGGGGGGGGGGGAGAAGGAAGAGGCTCAGTAGAGGTAAGCGCTGACCAGGGTCACCCCCCAGCTGTCAATCTAGAATCTTGAGATAGGACGGGCGGAGAGGAAGAAAAGTCGAATCTACCAGCTGCCAAGAGCTAACTACACTGGCGTGTGAGCGTCCGTCGCCGACTTCCGAATGTCTGGAACATATGCGGTGTCGGTCTTGCCATAGGATATGAGATATGGTAGTCGAATATGAAGTTTTTTTTTTTTTTTTGGATTGAAAGTCATCGGAGGCATCTGCTTCTCTACCTCTTATCTTTTTTTTTTCCCTCTCCTTCTCCAGAGACTGAGATCTGATCGATTATCAAGGAAACAGACCGGAGATTGCGAGGACAACTTGAGCAGAAACAGAAGAAAGCTCAGTGGCTGGACCGAAGCCATCCGTGGGTCTTGGTTTCTCAGGGACCAAAGATCACAAGCATATGGGAGTTTGTAAATGGCGCCGCCACCAACGGCATTCGGACGCCATGTTCAATGTTGGGCTGCCAAGGCTGCAAGGTGTAATCTGTAATCACTAGACCGTATCCGCGGCCCCCCTCCGCCATCAGCAGACCATGGTGGGTAGAGAAGAGAGGGGTTTGTTGGTCCTATCAGGTGCGGGATTCACATCAGTCGATAACGGTCAATCCTTCAAGTCTGCAGCGTGTGTGTGTGTGTGTGAGGTGTGTGTGTGTGTCTGAGCTGTCAGCACCGTCGTTGGCATCTCTCATACGTTACATGAATGAGTGGGAGTGTGTCGAAGATTCTGAATAGAAGAATAAAAACAAGGTTGAACCAGATTGAGATTGAGATTGAGATGTGGAGAGCAGGAGAAAAGAAAAGGTAAAAAGAGGGTCCTGGTCCCAATATTAGGGCTTGGCGAGATGAAGAGGCGAAAAAAAAAAACAGGAGAAAAAACCCAAAGTAAAGAAAGAACGGAGAGGCAAATGGGTTCAAAGGAATTAGGGGATGATGAGAAATGTGGAACACAGTTTGTTCTAGATTTCTCTTTTATTGGTTTGCATCCTATATAATATTGGTTAGATATTCTTGTTCTGCCTAACATGAATAGCTGCTCTACTCTGTAGATCGCAACGGTGTGCAGATTATTCACTTCCTCTATAAGAAGCCTTCTGCTATATTATTAGTCATCTATTGGATTGTTATTGTTGTGGCTGCCTTGTGTGTTTCAAGTTTGCGTCCTGAGGCCATGGATCACGTGTCTGCAGCCCAGCCCCTCAGATTCTCACCTCCAGGTGCCCACCTCAGATGTGAGGATGAGGGCAGGTTTAGCTAGATCATCATCCTCAGTTTCTTCCCTCATGAAAGCGCACATCTGCTCTCCCCACATTCGGCTAGGCTATAGCTTCACATGCTTCACATATAAATATATGATTATCTCATATTTACTAGATACGCTGAGGCAACAACGGATTCGATGCCAGAACAACCTTTTTTTTTTTTCATGTGGCATTTGAAGAAAAAAAAAAAGGGAATGTGGCCTATCAGGTATTAACCACACAGACAATAGAGAATCGCATACCTTATTCAGCTTATCCCGCATCATGCAGTCATCAATGCTAGTGTTGGACTATTGGTGCAACGTTCATGCTATTTCGTTGCGAATACACCAAGCCTTCTTTTCCGCGGTGATTCCAGCCATGGTGAATGATTCGGCATCGGATCGAAGCTGGGGGGCCAGAGCCTATCTCGTCAGCGCCGATTTCGACTTTACAATCCCGTGCTGTCCTTGGATGCCGTACACGCACGGTATTCTATCGAACACGGATGCGGCCAACACATATACCACCCCTCAATCATCGGATGTTGACCTGCACCATCATGCTTCAATCGAAGACCGGTCCAGGACCGTGGGCGGCTGCACACACGCGCTCACAAGCCGGTGGGCCGTCGTAGTGTGCACATGCATATGAAGGACCTCAGGCCATTCCAAGGTCAGCGAGTTCGACAGCAACGACCTGCCCACCGGCGGGCGGAGCATCGCCGAAGATGCAACCGAGCTCGGGCGCTGAGGATGAGTTCCTGATGGCTCGACCAGATGGTCCGAAGGAAGACCATGTTGGATATAGCAGCCTCCCGCCGACAGGCTTGCAGACAGCAGAGTCAAGGAGCCGTAGAGCCTGACGCCGAGGCTCGCGGGTATGCAGGGTATCTTATCATCGTTTTACTGTACTGGTACGGGTACTGCATACGCGAGACTCGTCAATATGCAGATTCAGCTGGATGTCGTCTTGAATAGAATGATATCCGAGAATATACTGCCTCGCCCGGCAGCCTCTTCTCCGACAAACGACCGTGACAGACATCACCCACGCGTGCTGACCAGACTGACTACCTAGATGGATCGGACACGTCGGCGAATGCGCAGACCCACGACAAGATTCGTCCACGGCGCGACTTACCAGTCACCAATTCAGAATATCCGACTCGGTCATGGCGACCGCTTCTTTGCCACCTACTGCTCAATCGTGGCCAAGAAGTCTGATGACGGTTTACATGCCAAGCTGCATGTAGATTGCACCCTACAGGCTACAATTGTCTGGTACTGACGAGGTCTATCTCCTCTTCTGGCTACATGTAACCGAGATAGACGGAAAAGAACAGATGTAGCCTTGGATTTAAGGGATTGAAATCGAAGCGAGAGGGAGAGAAGCAGACGGACGTTAGGAAAAAAACGAAAAAAAAAAAAAAAAAAACAAGACAGAGAGAGGGGAAAAAAAACCCAAGAGGGAATAAAAAGTTACCAGATACAGTACCAAGCTGCCAAGACCGGAGTGGCCAATTCAACCATGGTGCTCGTCGTTCTTCCTCGCATCTTGCTGAGGGATTTCTACTGAATTCCCACCGTTCAGCATTGCGACGTATGGCCGAACGGAGCAGGGCGCATATATTGACTCTGTACTATGTGTCATGTTATATCATGTCGTTGTATATGTACATGTATTGCCTATAGAACTATCGATTCCTTGGAAGACTCATCCGGCATGATCCAGGATGTAACAGTGGAATATACTGACAGTTTTACTGCAGGTAGTCATACAGGTGTCCGTTATATGCCATCGGGACGTACCGCGGGGAGAAGCGAATACGGCTATACGAAGAGGCATGCTGGACAGTCGTTGACGATCGTCTTCCCGAGTGTGGGAATTATCAACGTCGCAGTAACTAACACTGCATACCCGTAGTAGTAGTTGGTATTAGTAGTTGGTAGTCAGTAGTGGTAGTAGTAGTAGTAGTAGTAGTAGTAGTAGAAGTAGCAGTAGTATACTGTACGTAGGTAGGACCTACCATTACTAGGGAGATAATAATTCCATCTCCTCAGAGCTGGAGCCCACGAGAAAGTCGCTAAGAAAGCTGAAACGTAGGTCGGGGCAGCGGGATCGGAACCTGGCGTTCGGCCCTCGGGAGTCGAGACATTGATGTTCTTGGACGACGCAAAAAAAGCCACGCTCGACTCGTTCTTTGCATTGGGGGGGGGGGGGGGGGGGGGGGGGGGGGAGAGGGGAGAGAGGGGAATGGAGATGGAAATAGACATACTGGTGGGTGAGCATGGCAGCCTTGGGAAGACCGGTGGTCCCGCTGGTGAACTGGAGGTTGACGACCTGGTGGGGCAGGACCTTGTTCATGGCGCGGAAGAGGCGCTCGGGGTTCTTGCGGGCGGCAGAGCGGATGAGGCCGTCGTAGGTGTCGTAGCCGTCGGGGACGTGGCCGCGGATGATGACGACGTGCGGGTGGGACTTGGAAGCGGTCCTGCCCTCGTCCTTGGCCTTGTTCTCGAGCTCGCGCAGGAGCGGGGTGTTGTCGTTGCGGCCGATGCGGGTGGTGGTGAAGAAGACCTTGGAGTCGGAGAAGGTGAGGCCGTACAGGGCCTCGGTGGCCGTGTACGTGTTGTTGAGGATCACGAGGATGGCGCCGATCTTGGCCACGGCGAAGAAGACGGCGGCGTACTGCTCGCAGTTGCCGGCCATGATGGCCACCCGGTCGCCCACGCCCACGCCCATATCCAGCAGCGTCTGGGCCAGCGCAGAGCTCTGCGCGTTCAGGTCGTTGTACGTCCACCGGGCGCCCGTCCACGGTATCACCAGGCACTCCTGCGTGCCGTGCTGGTACGTCTGCAGCTCCAGGAGCTCGCCGAGCGTCAGGTCCACCAGGGGAGGGTCGACCGGTCCGTGGAGGAGGGACATCTTGGGTGCCGGCGCGGTGGCCTGGTCCGTCGATGATTGCACAGACATTGTGTATATATGCTCGTGTAAGCAGAGGCGCTGCTGTTGTAGCCACCCGGACCCGGTCCTCGTCTTTTTTCTTCTTTTTTTCCTTTTCTTCTTTTTCTTTTTTTTCTTGCTTCTGAAGAAAGAGAGGGGGCGAGGGAGAGAGATAGGCTGTATAGTAAAAGGAAGGAAAAAGTATACAGCGTAAAGAGTTTTGTTTCTTTCTTCTTCTTCCACAAAAGGAGAAAAAAATGAAAAAAGAAAAGATGATGCCGACTACGATGGTCGTTCCTATGTCGGGTCCCTGCTAACTTGGTGGATCGTCCAAGTACTTGTAAAGAAGACCCCCCACGTAAGAAGATGCACCTTTTGGACAAATTACCGGCTGTACGTAAAAAGTATATTTGAGAGTACGAGTACGACGCCAAGTAGTAAAAATACAGCAGCAAACCTCGGGGCCATGCAACGATCATTACTCGTTTTCGACAGTATTGTGACAATACCTTGGCTTTAGTCTTCTTCTCTTTCTTTCTAGGGTCTCTTTGATGAACAGCTCCGAGGATGGCCGAGATCGCAACCTCTTGTTTTTTTTTCCCTCTCTCTCGTCGGTACAACGGGTAAGGAGGGAAGGGGGGGGGGGGGGGGGGGGGGGTGTGCATCTCTCACTATTCTCCATAATACAAAAGGTAGAGAAAGTACTGGTACTTATAAGAGTGGGGCTTTTATCTAATCTGATGATCAGATTAGATTAGTGGTTGAGAAATATCAATCTCCCCACTTTGCTGCACAGATATTCTTTTTTCTTCTTTCATTTTTTCCATCATTTCTCTCTTTGGCGGCTGCGCTCCCATCCCCATTGCAGAAGCAGAGCCGGCTTCTTCCTTCAAGCGTTCTCGAATTCTCCTTACGAGTGAGAAACTCCACAAATACGAGAGAGACCAGTCTTGAAAGCGCAGCATCACGTCGTCTTTTTTTCATTTTTTTCATTTCTTTTCGAGCTTGGGAAGAGAAGGAGGGGTGAGGGAGGGGCTGGCAAGCTTGTGCGGCAATTTTCATGATTGGACAGGCGGAATTTGCCAGCGGTACACGGACGACGACCGTGACGCCCATCGTTCAACCTCTGGACCTCTGGATCGAACTGTGGGAGGGAGGGGCGACCTTTGAAGGGGTGGTAGAACCAAGTTTCCATGCGATGACACCACCGCCACGCTGGGTTGAAGGAGAAACGGCACTTTCTCTCTCTCTCTCTCTTCTCGATGAGGGCAATACCCGTACAGTGCTGGTACCATCCTTCTCCATCAAACCTGCTAGAGTTTTGCCGATCATGGTCGGTTTCAAGAAGGCGGTCCTTGCTAAACCCTGGAGAGAAGGTGGCCGTCTCTTCCGTCTTCTGCTCCGTACAGACTACGCATGACCTGACCGCGAACGCGGGAGAGACCAGCTACGGCTACACTCCATCCTGGAAACGACGCAGGAAGACCTTGAATCGTATCGATATTGCCCAGGATGCTTCTCAAATACGACATTGCAAGTCACCATGGCTTGATGAGTGATCTTACGGAGGAGGAACACCAGTTGTAAAAAAAAAAAAAAAAAAATCTGATCTGCGTCCCCGCTTCCACATGAGGGCAAGGTCTCCGTACGAAGACACCACCGCCCTTTTTCTTCTTTTCTTTTCTTCTTTCTCGCCTTCCTCATTCATCAGGTACCCCGCCGAGAAGATGGCATGGCTTTCCTGCACTGCGGTACAGTAAAACACTCGGTACCTGTACAGAAACTCGTACGAGCCATCATCCAATACCCGTACGAATACCCGCACGAGTACCGCAGATGCCAAGCAACGGCAATGAAGGCCAGAGGGGAAAAGTATCTCCAGGTACCTACAAGTCACCCTGCGGTAACCTTCGGACCCAGGAACCTGGCTCTGTCCTAACGAGGTGCATCTAAACCGAAAAAGAAGAAAGGAAAAAAAAAAGAAAAAAGTACCCGTTCACGCCCGTACAGACTGTCCCTGGCCGACGTCGCAACAGACAAGACAGACGTAGTGGGTAGGCAATGTCGGCCAAGTATCCCTTCCCTTCGGTTCGGAGGGGAGAGAGGGGAGGGGAGGCCCAAACATCAATGCCGAACTACGGTCTACGGGGGGTGGGAGGGTGTGGGACTCTCGAGTCTCCATTCTATGCCCATGCCGTCTAGTCTTGGCCAAGAGCTCGTCCATCCATGCAGCTTTGCCCTCTTATTCTATTTTATTTTATTTTATTTTTCAAAAAAAAATTCCCTCTCTTTATTTTATATGTATATATATCATTTTTTTTTACTCTTACGAAATGGTTGTAAGTACTAATACTACGGAGTATACTCGCAGTCATAAGTACCGTTCACGCACATACACACATGCAAACACACAAGAAAGAAGTAAAAAAGGGTCCCGCTTTCGCAGGAGAAGACAAACCAGGGTATGATGGACAAGTAAGATCATGCGCTTTTACCATTTGAGGGAGGGAGGGAGGGGGGGGAAGAGGCTAAAGAAAGAAACCACATGAAAAAGAATGAAAAAGAAAAAGAAAAAGACTGACCAGAATTTCTATATGACAATGCGTATGCGAACGATGGGACCCGCGTTAACAAGTTTCTTTTTAGTAGCCGTAATCTTCTTTCTACTTGAAAGGAGCGCAGCTGAACTTGATTCATGTCCATCTTCCATCTCTCTCCATCTTCCTCTCGCTTTCAAACATCACCAACCAACTCACTCTCTTTTGGGTTCATTATATCTATATAATCATTCATACCCCCCCCCCCCCTCCTCCCCCCTTGAAAAGAGAGAGAAAGAGAGGGAGAAAGAGAGAGAGAGAGAGAGAGCGAGAGAGAGAGAGAGAGAGAGATAGAGAGAAAGAGAAGAGGCGTGTTTTGTTTTGTCGTCAGCCCAACTAAGCATCATCATCCTGTTCTTATTCCTCCTCCTCCTCCTCTTCTACTACTACTACTACTACTACCGCTGCCCTGTTCCCTTCCCTTCTTCGCTTCTTACATAGCATATACATAACATAAAACACCCAAGATGCGTACCATCGACAATGATGGTGGTGGCGGTGCTGCCCGGTCAATGGTCGGCGTCGACTCACAACCAGAAGAGCTCACAGCCACCAAGGAATCGTTGGGAGTTCCAGATGCGCCCTCGAACAAGCTGAGCACCCAGGATATCAATCAGCTGTGGGAGTGGAACCGCAATGTGCCGCCCCTCCTCTCGACGTGCGTTCAGGATATCATCTCGGAGCAGGCCAGGACGCACCCGGACGACGTGGCCGTGCAGTCGTGGGATGGGTCCCTGACGTACGGCGAGCTCGAGGAGCTGTCGTCGCGCATCTCCTACCATCTCGTCTCCAACGAGGGGGTGGCCGTCGGCACCAGGATCCCCCTGTGCTTCGAGAAGTCCATGTGGGCCATCGTCGGCCTGCTGGGCGTCATGAAGGCCGGCGCCACCTTCTCCCTCACCGACCCCAGCCAGCCCGAGGCCCGTCTGCGCACAATCGTCGAGCAGACCGGCGCCCGGCTCGTCATCACCTCGAGGGCCCAGAGCGACCTGGGCGGCAGGATAGTCTCCGGCATCGAGGCCGGCCGCGTCCTCGCCGTCTCGAGAGATCTGGTCGACTCGCTACCCCCCACCGCCACATCCTCCGCCACCGTCAGCCTGCCCACAGTCCCGCCCTCTTCCCCCATGTACGTCATCTTCACCTCGGGCAGCACCGGAAAGCCCAAGGGCGTCGTCATATCCCACGAGAACTTCACCAGCGGCGCGCTGCCCCGCGCCGATGCCGTCGGCTACACGAGGACGTCGCGGTGCTTCGACTTCCCCTCGTATGCCTTCGACGTCAGCATCGACTGCATGCTGTGCACCCTGTGCAAGGGCGGCCGGGTGTGCGTCCCCTCCGAGGAGGCCCGCATGAACAACCTGAGCGGCGCCATCCGCGACAGCGGCGCCAACATGGTCCACATGACGCCCTCGGTGGCCCGCGTGCTCGACGACGACATCATCCCGTCGCTCGACGTGCTCGGCCTCGGCGGCGAGGCCGTCTCCCCCAGCGACGCCGCCAACTGGGGCCGTCACACCAGCCTGGTCATCGCTTACGGCCCCTCCGAGTGCACCGTCGGCTGCACCATCAACAACACGGTCAACGTGTCCACCGGCATCGGCAAGGGCTGCGGCGGCGTCACCTGGATCGCCAACCCGGAGGACCACAACCTCCTGACCCCCATCGGCGAGGTCGGCGAGCTCCTCATCGAGGGGCCCCTGGTCGGCATCGGGTACCTCGACGAGCCCGCCAAGACGGCCGAGGTCTTCATCGAGGACCCCGCCTGGCTGCTCGAGGGCGGCGCCGCCGTCCCCGGCGGTCGCCACGGCCGCCTCTACAAGACGGGCGACCTCGTGCGCTACGAGTCCAACATGCTCGGCTCCATCGAGTTCGTCGGCCGCAAGGACCAGCAGGTCAAGCTCCGCGGTCAGCGCGTCGAGCTCGCCGAGGTCGAGCACCACCTACAGTCCTGCCTGCCCTCGGGCGTCAAGGTGGCTGCCGAGGTCATCAAGCCCGAGAAGGGTGCCCCCGCCTTGGTCGCCTTCCTGGCCGAGTCGTCGGCGGCCACTACGACGACGGCATCCGACGGTGGCCAGGGTCTCCTGACGGAACCTTCGCCCGATCTGGCCGCCGCCATCGCGTCCATCGACACCACCATGGGTGCCAACGTGCCGCGGTACATGATCCCCGCCGCCTTCGTCGCCCTGCACAAGATGCCCTCGCTCGTGTCTGGCAAGATTGACCGCAAGAGCCTGCGCGCCATTGGCGCGTCCATGCCGCGAGACAAGCTGAATCGCTTCCAGGACGCTGCCGGCGGTGAGGCCAACGGACCCGAGGAGGAGCCCGAGACCGACGACGAGAAGAAGCTCCAGGCTGCGTGGACGCAGGTCCTCGGCCTGGGCCCAGAGACCAAGATCTTCCGCCAGAGCAACTTCTTCAACGTCGGCGGTGACTCCCTGCGAGCCATGAAGCTCGTCTCGGCCGCCAGGGAGCAGGGTCTTTCCATCACGGTGGCCGACATCTTCATGAATGCCACGCTCAGGGACATGGCCCTCAAGGCCCAGGCTTCCCACGCCACCACGGAGCAGGAGGACATCCCACCCTTCTCTCTCCTCGACAAGGACTGGCCCGTCGACGAGGCGCGCAAGGCTGCCGCCGAGCTGTGCGGCGTCCCCGTCGAGGACATCGAGGACATGTACCCCTGCACGCCGCTGCAGGAGGCTCTCATGGCGCTGTCCGCCAAGGTCAAGGAGGCCTACGTGGCGCAGCGAGTCGTGGAGCTCGACTCCCGGGAGACGGGCGATAGGCTCATCAAGGCCTTTGACACCGCCCAGGCCGACTGCCACATCCTGCGCACCCGCATCGTCCAGGTCCCCGGCCGGGGGCTCGTGCAGGTCGTCGTCGGCGGCCAGCTGCAGTACCACGCCGGCACCAGGATGGATGAGTACCTGGTCAGCGACCGCGACGACCCCATGGACCTGGGCAAGCCGCTGGTCCGCTACGCGCTCATCGAGGACGAGGCCACGTCCAAGGTCGGCTTCGTGCTGACCATGCACCACGCCCTGTACGACGGGTGGGCGATGCCTCTGGTGGTGGAGCGCATCAACCGCGCGTACGAGGGCCAGTCAACGTCGCGGCCGGCTGACTTTAAGCACTTCATCAAGTACCTGATGAGCAAGGACCGGAGCGAGTCCGAGACCTTCTGGCGCGAGAGGCTCGAAGGCGGCAGCGTGCCGCAGTTCCCCTTGCTTCCGTACGCAGGCTACCAGACCAAGGCCGACTCCCTGCTGGAGAAGTATGTGTCGCTGGGGAGGCAGCCGGTGTCGGGCACGACGGTGGCGACCGTCATCCGCGCAGCCTGGGCACTCGTGGCGTCGCAGTACGTGCACACCGACGACGTCATCTTCGGCGAGACGCTGACGGGCCGCAACGCGCCCATCATCGGCGCCGACGAGATTGAGGGTCCCATGATCACCACCATCCCCATCCGCGTCTCACTGGACCGCGAGGCTCTCGTGGTTGACTACCTGCGCGAGATGCAGGACCAGACCGTCGCCCAGATACCGCACGAGCACTATGGTCTGCAGCACATCCGACGCCTGAGCCCCGACGCCCTCGAGGCGTGCGAGCTGCGCACCGGGCTCGTCCTACATCCCAGCACCGCCGAGGACGAGGCCGCCCTCCTGAGCTCCGACCTGCCGGCCAATCGCCTGGTGCCGGCCGGAGACGCCGAGGCCGCGCAGGAGGCCCTCAAGTTCAACACGTACGCCCTGATGCTCGTGTGCTCCATCGACCCGGAAGGCTTCCTCATCATGGCCAGCTTCGACTCGCACACGGTCGACGTGCCCACCATGGAGCGCGTGCTAGACCAGGTGGAGCGCGTGGCCCAGCAGCTGTGCGCCAAGACGTCGTCCCCCGTCGGCGATATCCCTGTGCTCACCTCGGCCGACGTCGACCAGTTCGCCGAGCACAACCGGGCCGTCGCCGCCAAGGCTGTGCCCCAGGACGTGCTTGAAAAGTTCCCCGGCTCCGAGGCCGTCTACGTCGTCGACAACCGCGACCCGCATCGCCCACTGCCCCACGGAGCCCTGGGCGAGCTCGTTGTCGGCGCATCCCCCTCCACGGCCATGGAGCTGACGCGGCTTACCACCGTCCCCAGCTGGGTCGAGAAGCAGGATCTCGTCCACTACAAGACCGGCAAGCTCGCCAAGTACACGGCCTCGGGCGAGATCGTGCTCACGGGCAGCGCCGACGCCAAGCCGGACGCCATCTCCGGAGCCGGAGCCGGAGGCGCGGCACGCCCGGCCAAGCGCGTGTCTGCCAGCTCGCGCAAGCAGAAGAAGCTGCGTAGTCTGTGGAGCCGCGTCCTGCGCATCCCCGAGGAGGACATCGGCCTCAACGACAGCTTCTTCAACCTGGGCGGCGACTCCATCTCGGCCATGAAGCTCGTGTCCGAGGCGCGGGTGGATGGCATCATCCTGACGGTGATGCAGATCTTCCAGAAGCGCTCGCTGTACGACCTGGCTAGCGCGGTCAAGGAGGAAGACACCACAGCGGTCGACGCCGCGGAATCCGCCGCTGCGGAGATTGCCGAGCCTTTCTCCCTCCTCTCAGGGGCGGCCGGCATCACCGACGTGGACGGCTTCCTGCGCGACACGGTGCGGCCCCAGCTGGCCGACGCCTCGGCCAACGTGGTGAACGTGTACCCGGCCCGTCCACTCCAGGAGGTGGCCGTGCTGGGCACGACCAATCTGCCGCGGTTCTCGGCCCGCTACGAGCTCATGTTCTTCGACAAGGGCGTCGACGCGGACAAGGTCTCGCGCAGCGCGCGCGAGCTGGTGCAGCGCAACGAGATCCTGCGCACCGTCTTCATCCGCCACGCCGGCCACGAGTATGGCGTCGTCCTCGACAGCCTGGCCACCGACCTGGTGCACTACGAGACCGACTCGCCCGACCTGCGGGGCTTCGTGCACAAGCTGTGCGACCTGGACTCACTGAGCCCGATGCCCCGCGGCTCCTCGTTCGTCAAGTGGTTCCTCGTGCGCGGCGCCGCGAGCGGCGGCGGCGAGCCCACGCCCTCCTGCCTGGTCATGCGCGTCTCGCACGCCCAGTACGACGAGATCTGCCTGCCTCTTCTGCTGCGTCAGCTGTCGGCCCTACTGGAGGGCAAGCCGGTGCAGGACACGGTGCCGTTCTCGTCGTTTGTGGGCCACGTCCTGAACAAGAGCATCCCCGCGAGTATCTCCTACTGGAAGGACCTCCTGGCGGGGTCGTCGATGACGATCCTCCGCCCGCCGCAGGGCACGCCGTCGGACCAGAAGACGCATTTCGCCATCGAGAAGACGATAGACGTCACGTCGCGGCCGCGCGAGACCACTGCCGCCACCCTCCCGACCGCGGCGTGGGCCCTCTGCCTGGCGCGCCGGCTGTCGCTCCGCGACGTGACGTTCGGCGAGGTCGTGTCGGGCCGCAACATCGACTTCCCGGGGGCCGACGCCGTCGCCGGCCCCTGCTGGCAGTACGTGCCCGTGCGCGTGCGCTTCGACGACTCCTGGACGGTGCTCGACCTCCTCGACCACGTCCAGCACCAGCACGTCGCCACCTCGGCCCACGAGGCCCTGGGCATCAGCGAGGTCGTCGAGAGGTGCACGGACTGGAACGTCGGCGTCCCGGACTCGGATGACTCGGATGACGACAGGAAGGACAAGAAGAAGAGGAGGGCCGACCATGACGGGAAGAAGGAGAAGAAGAAGAGGAGGGTCGACTGGTTCGATACCGTGGTCCACCAGGACGTCGAGCACGTCGAGTCGCTCGACCTCGCCGCCACCGGGTCCCGCATGGAGACTCTGTACACCCAGCAGGAGCCCCTGCGCGAGTGGAAGATGCAGGCCTTCTTCAGCGCCGACGGGAAGATGACGCTCGAGATTGTCACCATCGACAGCTGGGCCGATTTCGCAAGGGAGGTCTTGGACGATGTCGTTTCTGCTGCAAAGTTTCTTGTCGAGGAGCCCAGGTCCAAGCTCTTTGCTTAGCCTCTTTCCTCTTTTCATCCTCCTCCCTTCTTCACCTTGTTTCGTTCACTTCTCTCCTTCTTCCTCCCTCCTCCTCCTCTCTTACTGTTCCTCGTCGTTGTCGCTGATTTCCCCTTTCGTTTTCCCTCGTACGTCTGCATCATGTCTGCATCCGATTTTATTGATACATGTATTGCCATTTGTGTTGGTATTTCTGTTCGTTTTCATGCTATCCACCTTGATTTATAGTAAAAGTTTACAGGTACTAAAGCATTTCCTTTCTTTTCTTATACATGTCATATCCGTTGATTTCTAGTAAAAGTTTTTACAATTATCTAAGTAGTCCTGTATCGTGATCGTCGATCTGTAGTAGAAGTATGCACAGGTATTGAACCATCCTCTCCCATGTCAGGATTGATGTTCATACGTCGGTCGATTCACGAAGAACATGATTTCATGATTGGGTTTTTTTATCAAAAAATAGCTCAGGGTAATTGAAAACATGTGCAACAGACCCGACTCCTCGTATACGTTATTACTCCGTAGTACATTGTCCAAAAAAACTCTTAAGCAATACACCAAATAATCAGATGATGGAGGGGAAAAAAAGGAATGGGTATATGATCATCTCAAGCCAGGTGTTTGGGCAAAGAAAAGAAGAGAGAAAGGAAGGAAGAGAAAGAAGAGGAAAGAGCAAGAGAGGAAGGAGATGAAAGCAAGGAAAAGAGAAGAAAGAAACAAAGAAAGAGATGAAGAGATGAAGAAAGAAAGAAAAGCAAAGAGGTGAAGAAGTTCAAAGGTTTTTTTTTTTTTTTTAAAAAAAAAAAAAAAAAAAAAAAAAGAGAAACCGCCCCTCCGAATTCCTAATGATAGCCATCGCCGGAAAATGGCGAGACGGTCAAAGATAAGCCTAGGACCTTTGAGATGCTCTGCCTGACGCCCTTTCCCGTCCCCGTCTCCCTGGCACCCCCCGGGCCTAAGAGGGCGGTGATGCTCCTCCTCCTCCCGTCTACGCCGACGCCGCCGGTGGCACCATCACCGCCGTCATTCCCAGTGTTACTGGTGATGGCGATGGCGGCGCGCCTGCCGGCGCCGTACCTCCGGGTACGACCTCCGAGTTGCTCGGCGGGCGCGGAGCGAGGCGGCCACTCGCCGTCACGCTTCCATCCGGTGATGCACGAGGCCACCATGTCGGACAGGTTGACCGGGCACGAGGGCTGCATGGAGTTGGCGATGACCTTGTCGTAGAGCTGGAGGTAGTTTGCCGGGACGATGGAGGCGCGCAGGGGGTTTGTGGGAGGGAGGATAGGCGGGGCGAGCGGCACGACCGTCTCGACGGGTAAGGAAGACTCGTCGACGGCAGCGGCGGCGCCGGCGGTGGAGCGGCTGGCTGCGGTGGGAGAGGACGGTGCGGGTATTTCCGTGGCCGAGGCGGATTCGTCCGTCGCGGCGGGCGGTGGTGAGGATTCGGAGCCGCCCGCTACGGCGGCGGCGGGTGATGTGGGGGATGTGGAGCGGCGACGGAAGAAGAAGAGCCGCGTCGAGGAGCGCTGGGGGGAGGCCGGCGGTTGCGACGGCGGTGGTGGGGCCGCTGCTGCTGCGACGGAGGCAGGATTGACGGACTCCGTCTTGCAGGTCATGCTGGCCGTGTTGACGTTGGTCGAGGGACGTAGGCGGACTGTCCTGGCCTGGGTCCAGGCTATGCGACGGGCCTCGAAGCATGCTAGTCCCCGGTTCCATTCCATGTCGCTGCGCAGGTCACGGCGCTTGAGGGCCCGTCTCTCCTCGCGCGTCAGGTGGGCGTAGCTGACTGGGTGCTCGTTCTTTGGGATGGGAGACGGCTCATTGTCGACGGCCACGTCCGAGTCCCATTCTTCTAGAGCCCTGTAGTGGGGTGGGATGTCGGAGACGAGAGAGTATGTGGACTGGGCGTCGTCGCCGTCGCCGTCGTCGTCGTCGTCGTCGACATGATATCCCTTGTCGGTTTCTACCGCAGGTTCATCATCACCATCATCACGGTCGACAGCGTCGGCTGATGACTTTTCGTCGTGGTGATGGGCAGAGGCGACTGATGGCTTGGACGACTCGTCGGCCGGGACAGGTTCGAGAGGCCAACCGAATACCCAGTCATCACGCACCTTTTCTTGGAGATAGCGCCGGACAGCCTCCTTGACCTTGACCCTGTCGCGGCTGACCAGGTCGGCGTGCTCTTCACTGTTCCAGTCGGGCGAGTCGAGTGGAAGCTGGACGCAGGGTTGAGGGTTGTGGTGTCGTAGCAAGGAGATTGGTGATCTGCGATTCTTGTAAAACATGTTGCGCGTGTGTTGTATGTCCGATGTCGGCGGTGCAATTGTTGAAGATGTGATGATTTTTGTTAGGATGAGTGATGGGACGTGGTTTCCGAGACGAAAGAAGGATGAAGGAATAAAATGATTTCAGAACAATCGGGTAGGCATGACGCCACCGAAAGCAGAGCTAGGTCCAGGAGGAGGAGGGGGAGGAGAAGAGGGAAGAGCCGAGATGGAAAGATGATCAGAGAAAAATCCGCGTTTCCGTACAAGTGGCTCCCCTCCCTTGAGTGGCAACGCATGCAACCGAGTGAAGTGCCAAGAAGGGGGGACGGTGGTGGCGAGGCTCAGTTCCGCAGTTTGAGCAGAATGTGGGTGGGGGGCGGGGGGATGTGTGTCTGTTTTGCTCTTTTTTAGAAAAGCCTTTCCTTCTTCTTTCTCTGAACCTGGAATTGGTGGTTTATAGCTGCAGAGGAAGGGTTGGAAGAAGAAGAAGAGGGAGAAGATGAAGAAGGAAAAAGGTTGGATGAGTCTAGTAAGTAATAGTAATAGTAATAATAGTGCAGTGATGCTATTACTCTCAACTTAGTGGCAAGCCGAAAGCCAAAAGGGAAGGAAACTAACTACGAACTGTAGGACGAACCAAGGCCCAGCGAGACAAAGCGGGGAGGGGCATGTGGTAATTTTTTTTTTCCATCTGGTTTCGGCTTTTCATGATACTCAACTCCCCTACCCGTACGTAATATATACAGATGATATTATGAGCAGTAGTACGAGTGAGTACCCGTAGTATCGAATATTCTGTGTCTTTTTCTTTTTCTTTTCTTCTTCTTCTTATATCTTATTTCTCGACTCTTTCCCACTCACCTGTAAGTATTCTTTATTGATACTCCGTAGGTGACGAGTATCATCAATATTACATCATTGCCAGTCTACTCCGTAGATTGATTGAATACATGTAACAGTAATAATAAATAATGGCTAATCATAATAGCAAATAATATTAATTCGTTGATACTACGCTGCTTAGCTGTCCTCCCGCTTACCCGATACCAGCCACCGTACCGTATCCATCAACCCCTCACTCCAAACTCCTCACTCTAATGTTCCTCACTCTAAACTCCTCTACTACCCGGCCTTATTCCGCGGTCGGGACCGTTCCATCTCTTGAATGGCGTCCAATCTGATCCTGTGACTCCACCGCATCGACCAAGTGAGACGGAGCATGACTCTCGTCACACTTCATCAACCTCTTCTCTTTTCTCGTACAACACAATGGCCAACAAGAGCACATGAAACCTCATCCTTCCATCTTGAGCCCTCGATACGGAGCTGCTTGTACGGAGCAGCTATCCCGTGTCGAGATCGGAAACTGATAAGCTTTTCTGATATGGCGATGCAAACAGACAACCCCTACCATGTGATATTACCGATGACATCTGACACTCTCTCTTCTACACCCTCGCCTCCACCCCCGTACATTCTACCCTCGTACATTCTACATTCCAATACATCCTACACCCCATATCACCAACAACATCTTTTGAGACAGACTGTTGAGCATTCACCATACTCTCGTATCATGGTACAAGTATGCCAAGATGACACACCACTTCACGCTTCAAAAAGTCAGATTCATATATCAACTCCAGCAACACACACAATCGACTATCGACCATCCTCCAACCAAACACACACACGCACACACAAAAAATAAAAAAATCTCAGGGTATCAATTCCGAAAAGAAAACCGACCGCCCGAGCTTTCACGACATCCTATATTCAAGCAAACATAACATGAAAACCCAACAAGAAGAAGAAAAAGACCCAAATCGCACAAAGTTCGGAACCAGCTTTACCTCCCATTCATATATCCCGGGATAGCTTCAACAAGGGTCAGAGAGGGGAAATGGACAATCTCATCAAAATTCAAGTCCAATGAGAATAGAGGAGTAAGAGTGAAAGGAGGCAGAGAGGAATCATCATGACTTCGTTACAATGAGAGTAAAGTAGTAAAAAAAAAAAAAACCTTCCCGAACAAGAAGGAAGACTGTCAATACATCAAACGGCAAAAGGAAATAGTCGAGAGGAAGGAAGAGAAGGAGAGAAAGAAGGAAATAGAGAAAGAAAGAGAGAAGGGAGAAGGAAAGGAAGGACATGGAGAAGAGACGAGAACAAAACTAGAACTGGGAAGAGAGAGAGAGAGAGAGAGAGTAGAGAGAAACGAAAAAGCCTCCATACGTCCTGACGATGAATCAAGAGAGGAAAAATCTAAACATGAAGACGCTGAATTCGACAAAAGACCACTGACCACTGTGCAGAAATATGGTATGAGATGAGAGAGGTAATCAACAACAAAGATATCAGAAGAAGTAGGATGTGAGATTTCGTCAAATGTTAGGGTCGTCAAAAAAATTGGAAGAAAAATAAAAAGAATTTAAAACCAGAATCAATAGTTTCGTATATCACATCGAGTAGGGAAGAAAGATGTTTGAGCGCGATCAAAGTTTTCCGTGATGAAAACACTCTTTCCGTTTCGAAAAGCACCCGTTCCCAGACGAGCAATGCATCAGACATATAGGCTAGGGCACGAACAAATAGGCCCATAAAGAGGAGGGGACAGGCAGGTCGCGAGGTAGGTCCGTAGTCGCGGTCCGGCTAATAGGCCGCCGTGGCAGTCGATCCCTCGCTCGTAGCAACAGCCACTAGGGCCTCCAGCCTGCCAAGAGAATCGCCATTCGCAGGCCTCTGCTGAGACGCTTGCTGCTCTTGCTGCTGCTGATGATGTTGACCTTGTTGTTGAGGCTGGGGCTGGTACTGATACTGATGGTGGGGCTGCTGAGGAAGCGGCTGCGACTGTGGCGGTTGTTGTTGATGCTGTTGTTGCTGTTGCTGGTGCTGCTGGTGCTGGTGCTGGTGCTGGTGCTGGTGCTGGTGCTGAGCCATGCTCGACTGCTGCTCCCTCGTGGGGAATCCGTTGAACGCCGTAAAGTTGGGGTGCACCATACGCTCCACCCTAGCCACGCGAGGATCTGCGGCAGGTCGTTGCTGCTGCTGCTGCTGCTGCTGCTGGTCCTCCTCCTGATGCACCGTCAAGGGTCCATTGTACCAGCCTCGGCGTTTGCTCTCCCTCGACGTCACCATCGAGGGGGCCGACATGGTGTGCTGGTGCAGGCTGCGGCCGCGTCCGGCACCGCTGACGGGCGGTCCGGTAGCGTACGAAGGTGGCGGCTGACCCTCGAAGCGCACAATGGACGGGTTCGTGCGGGCGCTCTCCAGCTGGGCGTGTGTCTTGCTGACGTCGGCGAGCCAGGCGGCGGCTCGCTCGCGGGGCGGCGTGTTGGGGCCAATGTCGAGGCGGTTGAGACCACGCTGGATGCTGGCGTCGTATGCGTTGAGGTTGCGGCGCTCGTCCATCTCGCGGGGCCGGGGCTGCTGAGAATCCAGCAGCATGGGCGAGTGGTGCTGCCTCGGCGGGGTCATAGGGCCGCCGCCGTGATGGCGGTTGGGCTGGTCAAACGACTCGATGCCCGGCAGTTGGAGGGTCGACTGCGTGTTGGACCGGTTGGCGATGGGCGGGGGCGGGTTTGGTCGCATGGAGCTCTGGTTGGCCACGTTGCTGAGCTGATTCTGGGCGTGCATTCGGCTGTCAGGGTGCCAGGTGCGTCGCCTCCAGGCATCCTCGGACGCGCTGGACGTCGAATCGCGGCGGGTCGACATGCCCGCGCCCAGCGTCGGGGAGGCAGCGATGTTGCCGGGAGCGGCCGAGGCGAAGGCGCCGTTGTTGGACGTGTTCATCGGGCCCGATCCACCAAACATGGGTCGAGCCGGGATGGGGCCGGGAGGAGACTGGAAGACGTGGACGGCAGACGGGACGCTCAGGCGGCGGCCGGGAGTGCGGGCGCCGGACGAGTACATGCTCTGGGAGCGTGAATGCGACGAGGTAGGCGAGCCCATGCCCGACCACCGCGGGCTGCCCTGACCGGTCGAGAAGGTGGCCGAGGTGGGGGTGCCAAACTCACTCGGAGACGGAGGTCGGTACTGGTAATGTCCATCGCTGCTGCGGTAGGGATCGGCGGGTCGACTCCGAGGATCGGCCATGACGAGCGGGGGAGGGCGGTGGCGGGCGTCGGCGGCTGTGCTGTAGGTCGGGGCGACGGATCCGATGCTGTTGATACTCGACGTCGACAGCGACTTCGAGTGACCCCTCGGCGGACCACCAGCACTGCCCGATTTCGAGGCCCTGGCCCTGTTGCCAGCCTGACGAACACGCTCGGTACGCAAGTGGCGCTGGAACCTGGAACCGGTGGCGGCGAGCGAATCCATGGGGATGTCCTCGTTGACGTGGACCGTCTGAGCATGCTGCCTCAGATTATCGAGTCTCGAGAAGCGGCGGGAGCAGTGGCACTGAAAGGGGCGTTCGCCGGTGTGTTTTCTAGAGACATGTTTAGCACTGGCAGCTAGGAGTATACAATATACATATGAGCGTATACATATACATATATATATATATATATATATATATATACACGCACACACACACACACACATATATATATATATATACCAGTAAATGTCGGTACGCACCTGATGTGTCGGGCGAGATGTTCACTACGGGTAAAGCTCAAGTTGCAGGGCGGGTAGTCGGTGCAGTAGAAACGCTGCGACTTCTTCTTGCGGCCGGTTTTGGAGCCATCGGCGTTGAGGCTATCGTCGTCAGAGGGAGCACCGTCATCGTGGTGGCCCTCACCGTCAGAGTCGTCCATGTCGACGTCCATGGAGTCTCGCCGACGATGGGCATGAGAATGGGAGTCGTTATGGGTCTTAGGGGTCGCGGTGTTGGCCATGTTGTTGGATGAAAAGGGACTCGAGGGCAAAGGCTGCTGGCCGGTGATGCCGGGGCTGAAGGTGGACCGGGTGGGCGTCTTACCGTCGCCAGGCAGGTTACTACTGTTGCTGCGGTCGTCGTCGTCGGCGGCGGCGGCGTGGTGGTGATGTTGATGATGAGGATCGGTGCTGGGTCGGGGGGTGGGTGGTGATGGCGTCATGACGTCCGCTCCGCATTTGTTGGTGGCGGCGGGTTCTGAGGCGAGGGGTTCGTTGACAGGTCGGAAAGCCGCCGCCATAACGACGGGGGCCTGTGTCGCAGCTGAGGTTTATGGGCAATAACGGCGCAACCGTATGCCAGGTACGGGAGGAGGGAATGTGCCGGCGTAAGACGGGGGAGATGTCTTTTCTTTCTGTCGGTTGACAAGACAAGGGAGGGGAGGGGAGATGTCGGTTGCAAGGCTAAAGATGAGGAGGTTGAAGCGCAACGGCAACGTCGGGTGTGTGCGTGCGTGAATGCTGGTGGGTGGCGGCGTCGGATGGTGGTGGGTGGGTTGTGGGTGGACGCAATACTGGGATGAGATGCTCGGCCAAGGGCGGGAGGAGGATGAAGAGGAGGTTGGTAGAGTAGTAGTAAATGGAACCGGAACTAGAGAGTAGCAGCCCTGGCCCTGGATTATAAAAAACGCCCTGGGTGGATGGGACAATGCCGGCGGGTTTCTAGTCTGTCTGAGGCTGAGCAATCAAGTGCACACGAGCGGGATGGTGGCGTGGCAGAAGTGAGAGACAGAGAGAGAGTCAGGGAGAGTTACGGGCGACGTATGTGTAATGCGTGTGTGTGTGTGTGTGTGTGTGTGCGGCGACAGTAGGGGAGGGGGAGTAAGTGTAAGTGTATGTGAGAGGAAGGAGGGGGGGGGGGTCTTCCAGTGGGTGTGTGCGTCTTCCTCTTTTTTTCTTTTTTTTCTCCCAAGTACTGTTGGCAGCGGAGTCGCTAAGTAGTAGTGGAGGGGTGCGGGGCTCGTGCGGCAGCAAGCGAGCGGGACCAGAAACTGCTTGGATCTGGGATCTGCAACCGGAGAGGGGAGCCAGCCAGGGAAAGATGCAAGTCTACCAGGTACGAGTATTGGAAAAGGAAGAGGAAAGAAAGTGGCTGACGCGAAGAGGGATATGCAACATGGGTATTAGACTTCGTTTTACGAGTACTACTACTAACAGCCGTGCTAGCAGTATTATTCGTCTGGGGTTGGAATGAAGAGACAGGGTCCAAGGGTATCATGTATCATGGAATTGGTTGTGTGAAGGATCAGAGGAGGTGAAGAAGGAAAGAGGAATGAGGAAGGAGGCATAGATGTAGATGTAAGGGAGAAAGAAAAGAAGAAAAGAGAAGAAAAAAAAGGATGACTTCTCTGCCCCAACGACGCAAGGCACAGGATGCTCGTTCGCTGGAAGGGCAGTAGCCCATGTACATACACACACGAGTACTACGCGAATACAGTTGATGCTTCTCCATACTCGACGCTCGCTCATTCTTGAATGTCAGTCGGACTTGGCTGATGATGGTATAGACTAGTTCCCCTCCCCTCTCTCTCCTGGATATGACACACGTTATTACCATGAACGGGTGAAGACGTACACACACACACACACACATATATATATATATATATATATATATATATATATAATGTATGACGGTGCACGCCGGTTTGGACTTTCTTACTCGGTATGGTACTCATGTACTCATCCATGGCAAGGGAGGCGCTAACGTTCCGCTAGCCAGCCCGACACCAACAAATCCGTCTCCAGTCTGTCAGGGCCCGGGCCTCTGGAAGCGAAGGGGGGTGTGTGTTGGGAGGGAGTGAGAGAGGCGAGGGAAAAGTGAAGAAGCTTTCCCCCTCCCTCACCTTGTTTCTCTGCCGTGTATAATACGTCGTAGGAGTAGTGTCTCCTTCTTCTTCTTCTTCTTCTCTAGCACGCAGCCATCAGAGTTGCAGTAGTAGTATCTCGTTCTGTTTACCGCAAGCAGCATGGCTACATACGTAATACATCAACGCTACCAGTTACGGGGATTCAGGTCACAGCAGAAGAAAACCTAGGAACCTTGTGTGCCTTGGGGCCTTGGGGGTTCTGCTGGAAACGTAAGCGGGGCAGGGCCGCGGCAGCGACGTAAAGTGAATACCGCAGTAGGAAAGGTCAGGGCTTGCCCACCAGGGGTTAGAAGTGAGTGATGGATACAGTAGTGCTGATATCTACGAATACGTCGGACTATGACCGGAAATGCTGCATTCTCTTCCCTCTTCCTTCTTTTCTTCCTCTTCTCTTTGGTGCCCATTACTTTCTCTGCTGTCCTTGGTCTACGACGTACTCGATACTCCTGTGCGTGATACTCTGGCGTAGTGGAGCAATACTGTTTCCGGGGGGGGTTACAACGTCGCGGTACGATGCGCACTGAAGAGAGGTAGGTAATACAGTACTGATATTACCTACGTCGGTACTAAGCTATGGAGAACGGGGAGCACTACGGTGGCACTACAGTGACTGACTACAGGCAATAAGGTCGGGTGGCTGGGGGCCGAGGGGACCAAGCATCGTCGTCGCACCGTCGCTGTCAATCGTGCCCATCAGCCAACCACCTCGGTGGCATTTGCTGCCCAGTTGGTCGTGCAGTGCTCGTGGGTATCAGCGTTCCAGGGGGGCCCTGATGCACGAGAGCGACAGGGATCTAACGAGGCGCATACTCGTGTTCTGTACGTTGTAAGCTGTATCACTCACTCCCCGTAGTCTGCACGAAGTATTGCGTTCGTAGCAGTGATACTAGTAGTGGTAGTAGTGAGTACTTGCGCTGTACAGGCGATCCTGAGAACGGATAGTATTGCTAGTGCCTTCTTCCAAGACGAGATCCATCTCTTCAGGACACCGACTGTCTGACCCTCTACTCCGTACACGAACTCTTCAGCTAGTTAGCTTCTCGTAGTAATGACTGCCATCCTGCGCCGTGCTATAGAGCGTTCGCTCTTGCTCTGATATGTAGACTCAGACTAATAAGCCGTCGGCAAACAGCAATCAGCTGTGTGCCTGTGCCACATGACGCCCGCCCAGTTTACTCGTAGACGTACGACAGACCAGACAGCCACCGAGTTTGTTCTCCGGACGAGCCGATGCTCTGAAGTGGTGCACCGCAGTTTACGTCTACATCTAATCTGTACAGTCTACCGGTTAGTGATGTGGACAGCAAGTACTACTGCAGTAGTACTAGTAGTATAGACGATCCCAGGCACCCCCAAAGCAGAGACTGAATGACTCGACCTCAGCTGCAAGGGCATCTCAACATGTTGGCGGTCAGCATCACACACCCCCTCCTTTCAACCCCACCAGCTACGGATTATTACGTCGTGTGCATCATGTACTCGTACGTCGTGTACGGTCATGGTCATCTGTTTCCTTTACCACGGATTGTTTTTTTTTTTCGCCTTCTTCTTTTCTTTTCACACCAGGATTTTGTTCTCGAAAACTCGTGTGAGATGACCAGTTGATGAAACATGATATATTTCCCAAATAATGAGGGGGGGGGGGGAAACCCCTCCCCAAAAAAAAATTAAACTTGTAATACGATATCATCATTATATACGATCATATCCGCCGGTGATATTACGACTTTCTTGTCCGACCTAGAGGACTTGGCGACCCGTCGCCCATCATGTCATATATCCATCTATCCCACCAAACTCACCTCTCCCACATACCCGTTACTCGTACAGAACGCACACACTCTCCATCTCTCTCCGTCTCTCTCCGTCTCTCTGCCCAATCGTGATCTGTAGTTTTGCAGAGAGAAAGGGGGGGATGAGAAGGATGACGAGGAAGAAGAGGAGATAATATATCTCAACTACAGAGGATCACAAAGTATCCTGGGTTCTTGACATGTTACGCCACAAGGCACCAACCCACCCCATCAGCTCACTTTTTTATTTCCCTCGTTTCCTGTTCTCTCTCGCCTTGGCGGTCCCAGTGGACCTCGGATTTTTACCAGCGGGACCTTCTGGACTATCGCAAGGTCCCGGCCAGGCCCCAGGAACGTAAAAGTGGATACCACATCTTGGCATACTATGACTCCTCCTTTGCCTCTTTTTCTGCCTTCTTTTTCTTTACCGTATTATCACACTCTACATACTATTACATGTGCTACGAAGACTGTAATACTCCGTAGATGTTTTTTTTTTTTCTTTACGGTACTTGACTCTCTGTAATCTGTTCGAGTAGTGGCATCAAGTATTATCAATACTGCTAGTACTGACATATTTCACTTGTTTGCAACACCCAATATTTCTCATGCAGTACGTGTATGTGTGTCGTTCCAAGAGCTAGACCTGCGTACTCTGTACGCACTCTGTATAGTGGTACTAGTTATTTTTCCTGTGCTGCGTGTAAAATATGCTCAGCATCCGTACGGAGTGCGGGAGAGTATCGAAACGAGAGGGGAAAGAAGAGAGAGGAGGGGGGGGGGG